CACTTCTACTAGCTAGACGACCCAACCGGGGTCACATAGGAGGGGGGGGTTGGACCCCCTCCTGCGGTTCATGCCTGAGGTATTTTTATCGCGAGAAGGGTACAGCAATCCCTTCCCTCGCGACTTACGAAGTCGATTATGGTTTACTAACAAACGAGCTTTGCAGCGCGTCGCTTTCATCCTAGACCAGGATTTATGTAGTGAGAAAAAAACTCTCCCTGCCGGGACTCGAACCCATGACCTGGCCCTTAGCAGGCTGCGAGGCTACCCACTAGACCACCGGGGCGACTGTGTGTAGGGACCATGTGTAGTGTCGTGTTTCCTTTCCAGTGGCCTGCGGTAGAGTGGTGTGGAGTTTGGACCTTTGGCTTCCTGAATGAGGTTTCTTATGGAGCGGACCGACTTGGGGGTTGGCGTATCCACGCGTAGAAGACAATGCGATGTATCGAGGGCGGTGGCGACCGGGACTACCAGGCGATGGAGTCATTTTTTCTGGGCGGTGGAGTTGTTGTGCGTCCTGTGCAAACGGTGTGAGGCGGAGATGGACAACCGTGCACAAGGCATGCTTGGGGTTCACCAATAATAACACACAAAGACTCTTGTACATTCTTGTCCGAGGGAGAAAACTACCAATCAAAGAAAATTATTGGAGGCACACAATATTCGAGACGTGAGTGTCTCGTCTCTCACGGCGTCATGAGAGTCCTTAGAGACGCAGCAAGTTCCGCCCGCTGCCCCCAGAACCAACCGCCAATCGACGCAGTCAGAGGGACACAGTATCCGAGACGTGAGTTTCTCTTTCTCACAACACCAAGAACCCCAACAGAAGAAGAAGAAGCAGCAGCAGCTCCGCCCGTTGCCCCCAGAGCCAACCGCCAATCAACGCGATAAGAGGCACACAACAAACTATTAATACATTGCTTCGTATGTCACCAATTTTTCGAAAGGCAGTATGCGTGCGTGTGCTGCTCGACGGCAGTAGGCATTGGTAGGCGATACAGTATATGTAGTGGTTGGACGCGAATTGTTTTCGTTTCGGGTATTTCTATTTTTCAGATTTCGGGACGCAGCACGCGAAACACGAGTTTCCCCTTTCTCACGACACCACGAGAGTCCCTGTAGCAGCAGCAGCAGCAGCAAGCTCCGCCCGGTGCCCACAGAGCCAACAGCCAATCAATGCAAAAAGAGGAACGCGATAAACTACTGTATGCACGCATTGCTTGAAAGTTCCCAATTTTTTCGAACGGCAGCATACGTGCGTGTGCTGCTCGACGGCAGCAGGCATTGGAAGGCAACAAAAGGTTGCGTGTGTTTGTGTGTGTATGCGTGTGCGTGTTTGTGTTGTGTGTTTGTGTTTTTGGAGAGCCAATCGAGGGGGCTTACCCGGCGGCCCCTCGCAGCCGGACGAGAAAACGACGCTGCCGGCCATGACGTTGGCGTCTCTGTTGTACCACCGCCTGATGTCCATGGCGTCCCCGATGAAGTTGCGGCCCGTGTAGCCGATCGCCGCGGCTACTGCGGGTTCCTTCGCGATCGCGGGGAAGTCGACGTCAAAACCTGTTTTGTTTTGTGTTCCCCCGAAGCACGAGCGAGCCCACAACGACAGCAGTACCGTAGAGGCTTAATAAAACGTACCCGAGGTTAATTGTTGCGTCACTCCACGCATCCGTAGCAAAAGGCTTAGGCTTACGACGTCCCTCAAGCTATGGTTGCAACTGTCGTGTCATTGCTAGAGAGAGTGGTAGCTATAGCTCCCGTTGTTAGTTCGGCTCTCGACAGCAGTCCGTGCCCATCATCCCCAGACATCTTCACCACCCGAGCGATTCGGCACTGACGAGATGCTTATTGTTACCTGTTGTTGTCGGAAGTGGTACGGATTTTGAGCCCCCAAGAGTACAGCTCAAAACAATAGGTGCTGATCTCTTCATTTAAACTCAATTTCAAGAAGAAAATGAGTTGCCTTTGGGGGGGGGACGTCTGCATGAAGTATTTTGGTTTCCGACGCTCTTGCGTGTAACTTCAGCGGGGAAAAAAACACAAGCGACCGTTTACCCCTAGCCACGCCGCACCCTTGTGCTCAGCGTCGTTTCCGGGCAAAAACACCGAAGAAGTACGTGATTGCTTCACCGCATCCGCTTTGGCGTGCGTTGTCTCTCTCTGCCGCTCTCTCTCGCGCACGCGGGACCGGGTGGATCACATGTTGAAATTGCAGGGTGCTTACTTTCCCGCAGCGGTATTGCATATTTTCGGTTTTGATCTTACAGCAATAGGCAATTCATTGGTTCTGGAAAAGGACATCTGCCCCACATCAGATAGATTAGGCTAGGCATGAAAAGTATCACCGCGTGTAGCCCTTTGCGCATTGCTGTTGTGCGTGCTTTTTGGGTGGGTTGCCTCGTCGTCTCTCTGCTGGTCTCTGTGCATCTTTTTTTTCTCTGAGGCAAGGCACGCCGGCGATCGTTCGGCACACAAAGTCATCGGAACTGCAAACGGAACGGAATCGGACCTGTGGTCACAGAGGGGTCAACGCACTGCCCTGTGTGCGAAAACTAACTCCGGTATGTGCACCACTCGAATCAGCTTTTGCGGGCGTACGGATACCTCGGTGGTGCTGCGTTGCAGGCTCCACACGCAACGTACACATACAAGCACATCAGTCAACAGTTAGCGCGGCGGGTGCTATTTGAGAAACCATACTCAAGAATGTGGACTGATTTGAAAATAGTTGTTGTTAGTTCGTTTGGGGGGGGGGTTGCTGGGCTCTTCGAGTCAAAAACATGTCAGCTGTGTGAGCTGTTGAGCTCAGGGAAGTCATCACAGCTGGCAGCTGGCAACCAGCAGTGGGTTGGTCCTGCCTGCCTCGTTTATTTTCAACTTTCATCACCCGTTGGCGACACTGCTGTGCTCTCATGAGCCCACTCCGGAGGGATGTACACCCATACATACGCAACCCAAGTAGCGGCGATATAAAACACGGCGAAATAAGAAATCCCGCCCGCGGAAGCTAAATATCCCGCCGTCGCGTGGTGCGCACACGCGAGCAGTCCCTTTGGCAATCATGTCTGACTGTAGCCGTGTCTTGGCTTGTGGCTGCTGCTTTCCGTCTCGTGTTTTGGTCGAGTGGACAAAGTTTAATGACTCAGTGAAAGAATCAAGGATTACCGTGAGACTACTGTTAGGCTCTCGCGTGACCCCCCAAAATCGTGCATGCGCGTGGGCCGATTTTTCGTTTTTTGTATGTGTGTTTTCGTGAAAAGATTGTTGGTCCGCATTACCAGCTGACGACGCCAAAACGTGTTTTAACTTGGTATTTGACTACGAACTGGTATCGTGGAATACTCGCTTCCACGAACGACTTGGCTCTTCACGTTCGACAGAGACCTGTGGACAGACCATACGGAGGGAAGGGTCATTCAGTTTTTAATTTGGACAACGGAAAGCCGGTCAAAACTCTAAAAACAAGTGATTTTCGGTGTTTTTTGGTGCTTTCCACGGGCGCCCTCGTACGTGTGGGACGATTGCGAAAACCCTAAACGACCATTCCCCAGCCCTCGTTTCTGCGATGGCTACCAAAGAAACCTCACCACAATCCACCACTCCGGCACCACACAGCCCGTATTACAAGATCGGGTCCCGATGGGTAGCCAGAAGGCAAAGATCAAGCCCTCCTCACAGCGAAAAAAAAAAGAGAAGCTCAAACGCCAAAACGAGAAGTTGGTCGCGCAAAATGGGATGAAGATGGCAGAGAGGTCGGCCCAGCGCAGGTACGATGCCGTCGTTAGGCGCGAGGACGTTAGGGCGGCAAGTCGCTGTCGCGACAATGCGTTACAAGCTGCTAGGGTAGCGCGTGAGAGTAAGAACAAGGCGATGGCCGCGAAACCAGGTGCGGAGAAAGCAGCGGAAAAGGCGCGAGCAGATCCCACCGAACAGCAGCGATTGCGCGAAGTAACGACGTCCGCAGCGCAAGCCGAACACGAGAGCAGGGTGAGGGCGGAGGAGGAGAAGCGTGCGGTGACCAAGCAGCTGGAGGACGAGCGCCGGCGCACTCAGCAGCTGATGAAGGAGATGGCTCGTCTGGCTTCGGAGAAAAAGGAGCAGGAAAAAAAGTATCACGAAATGGCGCGAGAGCTGGGGCTAGAGCGACTTTGGAAAACTCCGGCTCCTCCCGTCCCCGACACCAACGTGCGTCTTCGGCACCAGGTCATCGACGAGGCGAGGAGGGCGATGCAGAGGAAAAGAGAACTGGACACCATGGCGAAGCTGGTGAAGCTCAACTCCCAGCTGAGAAGGCAGGTACTTGAAAGCAGAGAAAGGTTGGGGGCAGAGACTTTCGCGGGGCTGGAATTTTTTTTTTTGTGTCGACGGCTTCTCTCTTTCGACGTTGCCTCTTTTTTCGTTGTTGAACACATTCCTGATGTGCTTTTCGTGGTGCTTTTTCACCCCCGCTGCTCTCCGCCGAAACAGGGTTCCCGCCAGAGGGAGACTATCGAGACACTGCGAAAGAACCTAAAGGATGGCAGTGATGCGCTCGTTGCTGCACGCAAGCCCTCTCCCGCGGGGAAGGGAATGCTCGAGGAGATTCAAGATAGGTTGCGGCCCATCGATGCTACGACCGAGTCGATTCCGGAGGGCGAGGAGGAAACGGAGGGGGGAGAGCGGGAGGAGGGAGAGGAGCGGAAAGAGGGGGAGGGAACTGGAGTAACCCAGAGTAAGGCGCGGTTGTACGGGTTGAATTTGGCACGCCTGTGCCAAGAGTATCTCGAGGCCGGGACCCCCCGTTGTCAAGTCGGCCGCTTGGTCATGTCCACGCTACGCCTTGCCACCGGCGTCGAGCTAGATGTCGCGGGGGGCAAAATGAAATTTCACGGCACGACGGTAAAGCGGCTTGCGCTTGGAATTGCGCACTTGGACATGGCTGAACTGATCGCCATGATCCTCAAAGCTCCCTACTTGCTGATCGCGGGTGACGAATCGCTGCGGAAAGGGGACAAGAAGTTCCCCATTTTCGTGGCGTGTTGGGATGTCGTAGCTGGCAGGCCTTGGTGGGGGCTTCTCCGGATGTGCAGCATGAAGGACAAAACTGCGGAAACACAAGCATCGATTTTTTTCGAGACCATCGTCAACGTTCTGAAGTACCCTCGCCACCAAGTTTTGTACGTCCTGTCCGACAATACCGCCTGTATCTCGGGCGAAAAGGGGGGGTGTGTAACCAAGCTGCAGCAGAAGCTGCGGGGGGAAGACACCACGGCGGTCCCACGACAGGAGCAGGGTGGAGGGCGTGGGCGTGGGCGTGGGCGTGGTGGGCAGGGCGTGAGAGGTAGGGCGGGGAGAGGGCGAGGTGGACAGCAGGGCGTGAGAGGAAGGGCGGGGAGAGGCAGAGGGCGGGGAGCTTCACCATCGACGACCCGCGGGCGAGGAGGACGAGCTGCTGGTAGGGGACGGGGGCGAGGCGCGAGAGGCAGCGGGCGAGGTGCCCCGGAGTCGTCTGGGGTGCGGGGAAGCGGGAGAGGCAGGCGCGGGCGCTCATGACTTGTGTGAGAGTGTCTTGATTTTTTTAGGGGGGAGTTTTCGGAGTCGTGAACAGATTGATTGTTGTACAACGCGCGGTATCGATACCGCAGGCGCTAGACCAGCTATTGCTACCATTCCAGCGCCAAAAGTAGCTGAGGGCATAACACCCGCGACGCTGTGTTACTTGAACCTAGCCAAGTTGGGGGAGGGTGGGGTTGCATGTGATTCCTTTTTCGATGCCAACACAAAAAATAGGCTTTCACGCGCGGATGGTTTCTTTTTTTTGGTGTGCGGACTTTTTACGGTCACATCGCATCAGGATTTGTGCCAGGCGCACATACGCTTGCGCGACCGGTAGACCAGCTTTTGCTGCCGTTCCAGCGCCAAAAGTAGCTGTGGGTACCACACCCGCGACGCAATGCCACTTGAACCCCACAAAACTTGGGGAAGGTTGGCGTTGCATGCGATTCCCTTTCGGTGCTCACTTGAAAAATCCAGAAACGCACACAAAAAAACTCTTTCAATTTCTTGTCACGACTCCATGTCATCCCCATTGCTGCTGCCCCCACCCGAGCTACAACTCAGCACATCGGACTTATCACTCTCAGACTCAGACTCTTCAGACGACATCTCCTCCTCGAGCACGCTCCTAACAACTCAGTTGCTGCCATGCTTTGATTTCTCACTCTGGTCCCTCAAAAACTGCTTCGTGTCATGGGTCCGTTTTCGGAGCTGCCGTTCATTTGGGATTGCGTGGGCGGCACTCTTTTTCAACTCTCTCGCTACAGCAATTGCCTTGTCTCCCGCCTGCCGAATTTCTTTGTTGGTGGCATACAATCGCTGTACTCTCCTAGAATGGCTTGAGCGGAACTGCCCAAGGCGGACGATATCAATCTCTCTAGAGTCATGTTTCTGGGTGCACGTGTCGAACGTTGAGAAATCACTCTCGACGAGTTGTTGGTGGATCGGGGCAAACAAAATGGCATGGCACGCCCATTCGTACAGGAGGGGGAAGGACCAAATCATATCAAAGCCAGAGACCCTCGGTGCCTGGTTTTCGGCATCGTCGTCGACTACAATCTCCTTCTTCTCGCGTGCAGACAGCGCATACCTCTCCACTTCTCCCCTGAACTCAGCACTTGCATTCAACTTCGAAAACATGCCAAACGTCAACTCATCTTTCTCCTCCGTTGTCTCGGCCTCCGAGAGGTCATCCCTCAAAATCTCGAGATATTCGTGCTCCTCGTCCCACCCCACCCACTCCGCGCCCTCGTAAAGTTCAGGCCAAAGCGCCAGCAAAGAAGCCCGCGCATACTCCTGGCCAACAGCATGTTCAAACGCCTTCTCCGATCCCGCCCACTTGCCCTCAAAGAACGAACTGCAAGCTAGCCTCGCCATGCTGTACGGGAGATGCTGATGCATATCCATCCATATCGTCCATCGCGCGATCATCTCCCGAAAGAAACCGCTCTCCTCGTTTTGGAAGTTCTGCATGAAATGCGCAAGCTGAAGCATACGGCAATAGGGGACGGGGTCGAAGAGCAAAAGGTTTGGGCGGCGTTAGCAGCTGCACATCGTTGGCGGCGGGGAGGGTTGGCGGTGGGGAGGCAAAAAAAAAAGCAGAAATAGAGAGCACGATCAGAGTATGAATGCACGACACCCGCATGTTTACACACCTCTTCCTCCGAGAGCGTCTTCTCGGCCCAGGCGAGCAGGTCCGGAAAATATTTTTTCGGGTGCTCTCGCAGCTCCTCGAGTCGTTCCACCAGCAGGAGGGAGAAGTCGGCTATCTCCGCCAACCGCATCCCTGCGGGTAGACGCTCCGCCACGCCACCTGTGCCCTCCAACAGGTAGCCTCCCTCCCCGCGAATCCAGTTGTACGCCCAGCTGAGCACTACTTTCCGCAGGGCAACGCAAAACTTTGCATGCACCCGAATGAGAGGGTCGTCCAGCATGCAGAGGGACTTGAACCAGTAGTCCATGAAGGGTGTGCCAAGAAGCTTCGCCGCCGCCCACTCCAAATGCAACCACCTAACCTCATCCCAGCGATCCTCGAGCAAAGCTGCTGCGTCCCAAACCACCATCCAGCGCGTTTCCGCGGGTCTGATAAACTTGCAGCCCCACTTGACGCCCTTGCAGCCAAAGACGAGATTTTGAAATCGTTTCCATGAAATGCAAGAGGAGTCGGACCTGCTTGTGTTGTACCGAAGAGTTCCAAGCAGAGCTAAGAGGTGGTTGTTCTCCCACTCGTGCCAGGACCCTTTGCCGAGAGGGCCCATGAAAAACCGGCACTCCATCCCGGCGTTCACGGCGAGATGGCGGACATGGAGGGTGCAGCCGATGCGGACAGCGAATGTAGGGCCTTCTCCGCTCGGGACATCGGCTTAAGGAGTAGAAGCCGCAGGTTGGGTGTGAGCCTCACTGGCGTCGTCGGCCATTTTCGTGACGACTGCTGTATCCGCGGGGGCGTGGCCCTCGTCCAGTTGGCGGAGGAGCGCACCACACAGACACCTTTGGGGGGCAATTGCGCTGGTGCTGCCGCTGCTGCGGTGCTGCGGTACACCCCAGATATCACACCGAGACTACACACACAAAAAAAAAAAAGCAGAAAAAGCACGCTCGAACACAGACTTTCATGGGCTGTTCGCCTGAAAGTAGACTCGGTTGTCAGAATTGATGGCATTGGATTGGTCTAAAATATTGTAGGAAGTAAATAAAATCTGTTCAAATGTAGTTCCGTGGGACAGAAATATTGCTCAAAATGAGGGTCACGCGAATGCACAACTGTGTTGGTTTTCATTTCCTACACGTACATACCAGCTTCATATGTGGCCTTCACACCTTACCACACACGATTCGCGGCGGGAAAAGGGATTCCGCCCAAGCGTACCTGTTCGTTCCCATGCACCGGACTTTAACTCGCTCCGCAGGAAGTCGGGGATTTGGCCGTCTGGACCGGCATGTCGCCGTCGATAGGCGACCCTCATGATTCCTGTTGTGCGGTCGATCACTGGCGGTCAGCGGACAATTGACGGACGCGTGCCGTCCTGCCCGTGCTGCCCGGCTTCGTGAGCGACGACGGCCATGGCGGGGGGCGAGGGGGAATCTGCTGAATAATCAGGTGTGAAGCGGTGGAACAAAGTTATTACCCAATGTATTTCCCGTCCGATTCAACCACGGGTGGGAGCTATGTGTACTCTAAAGTAGTACATAGAGAGGATGGGCTCCTCACACGAGGAGTGAAGGAAGAGGGAAGGCCACGCTCACCCGTGTGGCAGCAACGAAGTGCGCGTGCGGGCTTGCACCCAACGGTTGCCTTTCTCCTGAGCTCTCCGGAGCTCCGGAGTTCAACGTAGTCGGCGGAGTTGCTGTCTTTGCACACTGCACACTGCTTGTGCGCGGCGGTCACTCATGCACTCTGCACGGCACAACACACACCCACCATGAACGACCAACGCCTCGCTACATTTTTACGCGGCGTAATGTCACAGTCTCGCGTGTTATTTGCCCCGCTGGCGTGCCACACTCCCCTCGCACACACTTACATGCACACCACTTGGAGCGATGCGGGGCGCCCTGTCGACGCTCGCTCGAGGGAGGTCCGCTGGAGGGATGGTAATCTCGGTGCTTGGCGACACCTTCGCGGATGTGGTTTGCCGGCCGTTAGAACGCCTTCCCGCCTGGGGCACGGTGAGACAAGAGACTACGGTACTGGTCTACTTCTGTACATTCGCAAAGCGACGACAACGCGCTTATCAATGCGAGGACAGCAACAGAACAACAATAATAATAACAAAAACAACGACAATACCCCAGGTTTCCTTACAAACAACCCATTGTCGGAGTTGGAGGCTACACCCAGCCCCGGGTGAGGTACGCGGGCCTCAGAATATGTGTCGTCCGCCAGCTGTCACCTCCGCAGAGCGTGTTCTGGTGCGCCATTTTTAGAAGCGTGGCGGGCGCGTGTTGTCCTCCCAGGCGCTTGTTCTTATAGACTACACACATCCTCGACGTGCGCTCATGCGAGGGTCGGCACAGTCAATCAGGTATTCGCGAAAGGAAGAGGTTGTCGACCGCAGGTGAGCCAACAACTGAAAGCACTTTTCGGGGAATATGTCGTACTGGTGCGGTGCTCCCGAGAAGGCGATACTCTCTGCAATCCCCGGAGACAACAGCGGTTCAACAAACAACGCTGTCATATCAAGGTGCACCTGCTTTCACCACAACCCACCTCACAGCAGGCCACATTTCTCAAAGAATACAGAAATTGTGCCCAACACCAAGTACCTTCTGGCATCATCAATCAGAACGGTGCATACTTTGCACGACCTCTCGCACACGCTCTCGGAAATGTTTACTTCCTCTCGCCCCCCCCCCCTCTCTCCTCACGCCCTCGTGTCACATGCGCGCCCACGCAGGACACCCTGGTTAGCGATCCGATCCGTGTGATGCTCGGCGGCTCCGCGGCCAATTTCGCGGTCCACGCCACCAACCTCAACAGAGCGCAGCCGCCATTCGAACTGCTAGCATCAGCAGCGCCACTAGACGACGAAGCACAACGACTGAACCCGGCGGCGGCGGAGGCTGCCGCGAGCGGAGAAGAAGCCGGGGCGGGGGCAGCAGCCGCGGCTGTTGAAAGCTGCGAAGCGAACACCAAGAAGAAGCAGGCCTGCGTGCTTCACACCAGCGTGGCGAGCGACGACATGGGGGCGTTCGTGCGCGGCAAGCTGATCGAGCACGGCGTGGAGTGGTCGCAGACCAAGGCTCGCGAGCATCAGGTGTGGGGTTGGAGTTGGAGGGGTAAACCTGATTTCGATTGGTCTTTGTTTCGGTGGCGCGTTGATTCGTTCTTGATGCGTTGCATGTTTTACTGGGAGGGTGAATTTTTTAGGTGAACTTCAAGGACAAAAAATTGGTTCGATAAGCCAGAGTGTGTTTAACTGCACCCTGCCGTCTTTCTTCTACCCTCCCCCCCCTGCCTCATCATGAGGCGTGCGTGCCGTATATTTATCACTGCTGTTCGTCTAAACAACCTGGTGTTTTGCACCATACTGTTATAGTAAGAACAATGTGATGGAACGAGCCACCTCGACCGAGGGCGGTGAGATGTCTACGAGATACATACAACAACTACGCTTCCATCCCTATTCCACACAAAAAAAAAAAAAACAGGGGGCATGTGTGGTGCTGTCGGGACGAGAGGACCGGAGCTTCGTGACGCACCGAGGCTCGGTGGCGCTCTTCTGCAGGGAGGACATCGACGTCCCCCTTCTTTTGGAATCAGACCACGTCCACGTAGGCAAGTACTCTCACCACCACAATCACCACAACGGCTTTTACGTGTTTCGGGCTTGCGTTATTTTCGGTTGCGCTCGGTCTTACATGTCTTGAAGAGTCCGCAAGAAGGAAGGGCGCCCGCGCTGTTCACTAGTACGTGTTTTGGGAGGGAGGTATTGGGGAGACGTGGCATGAGTTTCATGTGTGTTCACGGACCTATCGTGCCACGACCTACCTACCTACCAGATGAAACGCCACAAGTATTTCATCCGATCCTTTCCGTTTCCCTTGTTGTGAACAACGAACACAGCGGGATTCTACAACTGCCCGGCGCTGTGGAAGGACCTACCCAGCCTTCTCGCCGAGGCGAAGGCCGGCGGCGCGTCCTGCTCTCTCGGGCCCCAGTGGGACGCCTCCGAGGAGTGGGGGGGGCTGGAGCCGCTATACCCCTACCTTGACGTCTTCATTCCGAACGAGGTGTTAGGCCATGCTAAGTAGGATAGTGAGGAGGGTCACCACACCAGCTACACGCGTCGCTGTGTCTCGCGCGGTCGCTTGGTTTTCGTGACGTTTGGGAGGGGAGGGGGGGGGGGGGG